CACAATCCCGGGTCTGATGGTTCATTTCCCTCGCCCTGATCCCACAATCCCGGGTCTGATGGTGCAGTTCCCTGACCCGAATCCCACATCACGGGTCTGATGGTGCCGTTCCCTGACCCCGATCCCACAATCCCAGGTCTGATGGTGCAGTTCCCTGACCCTGATGCCACAATCCCGGGTCTGATGGTGCAGTTCCCTCACCCCGATCCCACAGTCCTGGGTCTGATGGTGCAGTTCCCTGACCCCGATCCCACAATCCTGGGTCTGATGGTGCAGTTCCCTGACCCTGATGCCACAATCCCAGGTCTGATAGTGCAGTTCCCTCGCCCCGATCCATCAATCCCAGGTCTGATGGTGCAGTTCCCTGACCCCGATCCCACAAACCCCAGTCCAATAGCAAGGGTGAATAGTTGTTAATGGGGACTATTAGTGACTAACAACAGGGGGTGTGTAATGGCAGGGTATGTGGTAACAAGGCCTGGTGTGTTGGGTAGGGGGCTGGGACGTGGGAGAATTTAGGCCCTAAAATTATTGAACTCGATATTGAGTCCGGATGGCTGCAGGGTCCCCAAGCGGACAATGAGGTGTTGATCCTCCAGCTTGCATTGAGCTTTGCTGGAACACTGTAGCAAGCCAGAGACAGAGATGTTGGCCAGGGAGCAGGGTGGTGCGTTAAAGTGGCAGGCAACAGGTAGCTCAGGACCTTTTTTGTGAGCAGAACGTAGATGTTCTGAGAAGAGGTCACCCAGTCTATGCTTTGTTTCCCCAATGTAGAGGAGACCACATTGTGAGCAGTGAATGCAGTAGACTAGATATTGGGAAGTGCAGGTGAAGTGTTGCTTCACCTGGAAGGTATGTTTGGGCCCTTGGATACTGGGGAGGGAGGAGGTAAATGGGCAGGTGTTACACCTTTGCTGGTTACAGGGGAAGGTGCCGTAGGGCTGTGGGGATATGTTGGGGGTGAAGGAAGTGTGGACCAGGGTGTCCCAGAGGAAACGGTCCCTGCGGAAGGCTGACAAGGGAGGGGAGGGGAATATGTATCTGGTGGTGGCATCTCGCTGGAGGTGGCGGAAATGGCGTCTGATGATCTTCTGCATGTGGATGCTGGTGGGATGGTAGGTAAGGACAAGGGGAACCCTATCGCTGTTGCGGGAGGGAAGAGAAGGGGTAAGGGCAGAAGTGTGGGAGATGGGTCAGACCCGGTTGAGGACCCTGTCAATGATGGTGCTGGGGAATCCTTGGTTGAGGAAGAAGGTGGACATTTTGGAGGCTCCCTTGTCGAAGTTGGCCTCATCTGAACATATACGACAGAGATGGAGGAACTGAGAGAATGGGATGGAGTCTTTACAGGAAGACTGTATTGATATTGGGCAGGGTTTTAACTCTGTGTCTGATATTGGAGAGGGCTTTAACACAATGTCCAATATGGGAGAGGATTTTAACAGTGTTTGATAGTGGAGGGGGATTTTAACACAATGTTTAGACATTGGAGAGAATTGGATATTGGAGAGAAATTTAACACAGTGTCTGATGTTGCTGGGGGCTTTAACACAGTGCCTGATATTAGAGAGGGTTTAAATACAATGCCTTGTATTGGAAAGGGGATTAACATCATGCTTGATATTGGAGAGGGGTTTAACACAATTCTAATATTGGAGAGGGATTTAACATAATTCTTGATATTGGAGAGGGGTTTAACACAATGTCTGATATTGGAGAGGGGTTTAAATACAATACCTAATATTGGAGAGGGGTTGAACACAATGCCTGATATTGGAGAGGGGTTG